ATACCTCCTAATTCTTCCTAATTAGTTCATCAGCTGGGGACTAGGCCCCCTCTGGGGGCTATTTTCATTTAAACCATCATAGTTTTTGAGTCAGGGTCTTGCTATGTATCTCTGACTGGCCTAGACCTAGCTATCTAGACTAGTAACTAGAGTGGCCTCTAGTTTGCAGCAGTCCCCCTGCCTTAGTCTCCTGAGTGATAGGATTATAAATGTGGACCTCCATTTCTGCCATGTTTAGTTATTATAATAAATATTAACATTTTTCAGCTGGGTGGTAGTGACACACCTTTAATCCCAGCACTTGGGAGGCAGAGGTAGGTGGATCTCAGTGAGTTCAAGGCCAACCTGGTCTACAAAGTGAGTTACAGGATAGCCAGGACTGTTAAACAGAGAAACCCTGTCTTGGAAAAAAGACAAAAACCAAAAACAAATTAACATTTTTCACCCACTGACCCGGCTCCTTGAGGTCCGACCATTCCATCCAGTTTGGCTCCTCTCGGTAATATCGGACCTCAAGGTAGGTATGGGCCCCTCCAGGCTAGAGAAGTTCCTCCCCAGCTGCTGCCCTGCTTGATCAAGCCAGGCCTGTTAGTTACCTCTTGGTTAAGGGTACCTTTGTCTTAGTAAGACTTGGAGCTAGCCTGAGTTTTTCAGAAATGGCAGTTCTGTTTTCCTCCTCCTCCTCCCATCTCTGCCCTTCTCTGGCCTCCATGTATGAGAACCTATGGAAGAGGAGTGGGTGATTCAGTGGGTGGACTCAGGTTGCTGAAACTCTCAAAGTCAACTCAGGCCGGAGAGGCTGAGTTGTGTGTTAACCCTGTGTGGTGGGCAGTGTGCTCACTATCGCCCCTGCTGGAGAATCCGTGATGGTGGCCCCCCTGGGATGTTTGAGGCAGATGGAGACAGCCCAGAGCTGAACTCCCAGTAATTGGTCTCTAAGGGATGTGGCAGGAAAGGCCCTGTAGCAAATCCTGCTTAGCCTGACTGGGGCAGCTCTCACTGACTACTGCTCCTTGAGTGACTGACATTCTGCTGTACAAGTTTGGAGTTGAAAAACTCAGAGCTGCCTCCATTCAGCCCCAGGTGCCCCTAGGGCGGAGTTTGCTGATGGACTGACTTTTCGGAATACTTGGCCCTCTAGTGAGTTCTGTAGTTCTTCATAACCCCTCCCCCAACCAAAGCTTAGACCTGTGTGTGGAGGCTTAACCTGTGTGTCTTTTGAATGATTTCAGAGTAATGCCTGTGACTGGCCTGGATTTAAACAATTGTTAAAAAGTCAATTCTGCCCCAGCCGTGTTCTCAAGGGATGGACAGGATGGCATATGTGGGATGGGCCAATTTAATTCACAGAAGGTCCCTCCCTGATGCTCTCCTGTTGTGTGGCCAATGCATTTCCCGCCTGTAGGTCATGACCATGCTAATAATGATCTATAAAGTCTTCTGAGCCATATTCCTAGCCCTACCTAGGAATTGTGACTACTCCTATCCAGCAAGATTTTCCTGGGAATGGGCCCAGATATGGCTGTGGATAATCTCCATCCATCTAACTCACAGGGAATCCTCCTTGTGTATGACATCACCAACCGTTGGTCCTTTGATGGCATTGACCGGTGGATCAAGGAAATCGATGAGGTAGGCATGGGTTTGGGCCTCTCCAGGAGAGACTGTAGGACCAAGCTGTAATTGGGGCATGCCTGGTAGTGCTGCCCACTGTAGTTTTTTCCTACCCTGGAAGCATTGTTCAACAATAAACAACTGGACTCCGCTGTCTATCTGGTTCCGTCCAGACCTTCCTAGACTTGCTTCATTGCAGAATGCAGACACTAGGAGCTCTGCCTATGGCTAAGGGGTGGGGGTGGCATTTGATTGTGCCTCTGCTAAGTTCTGAATCCCTCCTAAGCATGCACCTGGTGTTCCCCGGATCCTGGTTGGAAACCGGCTGCACCTGGCCTTCAAGCGGCAAGTCCCAACGGAGCAGGCCCGAGCCTACGCAGAGAAGAACTGCATGACCTTCTTTGAAGTCAGCCCCCTGTGCAACTTCAACGTCATTGAGTCCTTTACTGAGCTCTCTCGTATCGTGCTTATGCGGCATGGCATGGAGAAGATCTGGAGGCCCAATCGAGGTGGGACTGAGGCTTAGTTCATCTAGGATGCTAGCTAGTGGAGTCCTGGGGGCTGATGGTGGAGCTGCAGGCATCAATAGTAGATTCGGAGTGTAGGTAGTCTCTTGAAAGCTGGCTGGGAAGTGGTGGCACACGCCTTTAATCCCAGCACTCGGGAGGCAGAGGCAAGTGGATCTCTGTGAGTTCGAGGCCAGCCTGGTCTACAAAGAGAAACCCTGTCTCGAAAAACAAAACAAAAAAAAAAAAAAAAAAAAAAGCTGTAGTCACATGGGCTGCCTGCCCAGACCTAGATCAAGTGATCTCTTCCTCTGCCATGCTTTGAGAGCAGATCTCTGCACAGTCACCTTCACTGCTGGTGGTCACAGAAACAGTGTGTGCAGCCCAGCAATGTCCATCACTGTCCATCATTGTCTTAACGATGACCTTATTCTTGGGGTACTTTCTAGTAGGGCACAAAGATGATCACAATGTCACCCTAAGATGAAGCCACGGAGGAGAACAGGGTAACTAAATCCCTCTCATGAGCCAAAAGACTTCTTCCAAATATAGCCAGGAAAGACTGAGTTAACCCCAACCAGAGTTATAGCAAGGGCTGTATTCCAAAGTTAGTCTGCCTCCTCACCCACCTCCAGTCTCATAGAGCAGCTGGACAGACTGGCCTCTCCCAGCAACACTTTGTAGTGTTTTCTGCTCTAAGAAGGCAGGAGTTGGGAGCCACCCATTGGACAGATAGTGGGGCATCCAGGAGCCTGAGCTGGTGAGGCCACCAGGAGTTTTAAGACTCAGCCAGGCTTTACAGGTAGTCTGAGGACCATGTACCTCTTAACAGCTCCTCTCACAAAACCTCATTACCTGTCTGTTCCCCCCTCCTTCTTACCCTCTCTTCACAGTTTTCAGCCTGCAGGACCTCTGCTGCCGTGCCATTGTCTCCTGTACCCCCGTGCACCTCATTGACAAGCTTCCACTACCTGTCACCATCAAGAGCCACCTCAAGTCCTTTTCCATGGCCAACGGCATGAACGCTGTCATGATGCACGGCCGATCCTACTCCCTGGCAAGTGGGACTGGGGGCAGTGGCAGCAAGGGCAACAGTCTTAAGAGGTCCAAGTCCATCCGCCCCCCCCAGAGCCCACCTCAGAACTGTTCTCGGAGCAACTGCAAGATCTCCTAGCGGGACCTGTGGGTTCCGCCTGTTCAGACTCGGGGCTTACGCTGGAGCACTCATGGCCAGGCACTAGGCCCTGCTGTGTGCAGGAAGACTTGGCTACACAACCCTGCCTGGGTCTCTCCGGGCTTTCCTCCACATCTGAGCTAGTGGAGGGGAGGGGCGTGCAGGAGAAAACATGCTCCACGGACCAGGCAGCAGGGCTGCTGGTGCTACGGGGACCAGGTCTGAACCAATTCTGGACTCCAGGCTGGGAGTGAGCCTGGCTCCCCTTATTTATATGGAGAACATTTTACCTGTTTTGTACATTTTTAAAGGGCTGTCAGGGAAGCCTATATACCCCTCATAGCCACATCAGCCGTTGGGGAAGCTCAGGATGTCAGGGAAGGAGGAATGAAGCAGTGATGGAGGGTTTCAGTGTTGAAGCCAGATGATGTTTGGATTTACAAAGACCCTTCCTGGGTGTTGATGTTGCTCAGAGGCCAGTGGGAAACAGATGCTCTGGCAGCAGACTTGGCTGCAGCGTCCATTCTGACAAAGGTGGTCAGTATGCTAGACATAGGCAAGGGTTCTGTTCCTGAGGCCTAGGAGAAAAGTTGGTTGTACCTGGGAACCCCACTTGCATCCCTCCCCATTGTGCCCTGGCACTTTGGGTGATGTTTACTATATACTCAGCATCTCCAAGTTGAGGCAGAGCTTTCTGTAGACTCAAGTGCTTGATGGCCTCCAGTGGTTCTGGGCATTGGGCACAGGGCCTAGGACCTCAGTGTCCAGCAGCTTGAACTCATCAACTTTGACTGTGTTTCATAGCTGCTCCTTGCCTATTGTGGCCCTTCTGCCTATAAGTTCTTGTCACTGGAATCTCTTTAAACTGTTTCTTAGTGACACTCTCTGGAACAGCAGCCTCAACCATAGGGGTAGACATCAAGCCCCTTGTTAGGGACCCACTAGCTGGAGCAACTTCTGAAGCCATGGACTATTCCTCCGTAATGCTCCTCCTACCCCAATCTGTTCTAGTCAGCCTTCACCCCTGTGGGGATGTTGTCCCCAGTGGATGTCCTATGTGACTGCTTCCCTGTCTTTGCCTGTTGATACAGCCCTCAGGCACGCTGGTGCTTAACTCTACCTCCTGCCCTCAGGGCTTTGGCCATAGCAGGAGCCATGACCCCTTACTGGGGTCCTTCTTAGTGCACATTTCTTAAGACCATCTTGCCATGGGTGTTACGAGGGCACTGGTAGACACAGCGCCGGCCTGCTGTTCTGGGAGATTAGGTTAATGCCTGTAGGGACAGGGCTGTGGTTGTGGGAACTGCCTGATAAGCAGCAGCCCCTGGGACCTGGCCCAGAGGCTGGATACAATCAAGCATCACCCTTCCCCACCAGTCCTGTTGCTGTTGATAGAGACCTTTTCTCTGAATCTCTAGTAGAATGGTGTAGACTTTGAGGACCTGGATTGGCCTGCGTGCACACCATCAACACTACCCTTGCTGCTGTGGACTCCACCATTCCTGGGTTCTTTGTTCTTACTTCTTTGTACAGTAAATGTACTTCAGCAGTGAGCTCCTGTCTTTCTTTGTGAACATCAGTCTGACTTCATTGGGCAGTGGTTTGTTGGGGGTGGTGAGGGGTGTCTGGAACTGTGCTCTACCATAGAAGCCACTGCTTTGTGCCTGCCAGAATGATCCCAGGCTTTGTTAACTGTCCCCTGCAGCTGACCTTGGTGACCTGCAACCATCCATCCACTGGGTTCACATTCCCAGCTGCAAAGTAGCCAGGCCTGGTTACAAGCCACACTGTTTCCTGGGGTTTGGTCCTGGCCAGGCTAGTATCAGACAGCCTTGCTATTCACAGAGCCTTTGCTCATAGCCTACAGCAGACCATCTCACATAGTTTACCACAGTTTCAAGGACATCTGCAAGTGGGACCTGGAGCTGATAACTTTTGAAGGAAACCATCTAGCAGTTACGGGGTTCTGCAGGGCCCTGCTCAGCTAGGGTTATGTCTGATACACTGGAAGGCAAAGCTGAGTGGGGCAGTACAGTTCACTCTAAACATGGCCTCTGACTTAGGTACCACCTGCACTTTTCCTCAGGAGCATCCCTGCCCCCTCATCACCAGGAATCAGAGCTCACCCACAGCTCTTTTGTAAGGCAGCAGACACTGGCGCCTGGTAGCCATCTCTTGATCTTCTGGCCAGACCAGGCTCTTATTACCCTGCCTCCTGGGTCAGAAGGTCAGACAAAAGGTCACACAGACTTTTTCCTTCCTGTCTCTGAGAAAACCACTCCCTGGGGACTTCTGGAGCCACAGAAACGGTTTGGAAAGGCAGATTCCAGGCAGGCCCTTTGTCTTGCCACCAGCTTTGATCTCCCTGCCCTCCCCCACAGTGGTGGAGCCTCTAGTCCAGTTAAAGAATAGATGCTGGCCCTCATGATGGGTTGTTGGAGCAAGATTTGAATGTACTTAGATCCCTGAGCAACATCTAGGATGCTTGGTCTTTGAAGGATGTGCTTGGCCATCCCTTGAGACAATCACATATCTAGCCCTGTGTGTGGTCAGTTTGGTGGCTTCTCTGTGCCCTTTTTTATACTATGCACCACAGTCACTGCCATGAGACTGTCTCTGGCCAGTGCACACGGATCATGTTTCCACCCAGACAAGCTAGCGTTTTGTTTTGTGGGGTTTTTTGTTTGTTTGTTTTGTTTTGTTTTTGGAGACAGGGTTTCTTGGTAGCTTTGGAGTCAGTCCTGAAACTCTGTAGATCAGGCTGGGCTTGAACTCACAGAGATCCACCTGCCTCTGTCTGCCTCCTGAGTGCTGGGATTAAAGGCGTGCACCACCACCCTGCTAAGGTAGCCATTTTATTTTGTTCCTGCCTTGCCTATTTGAAGGAGCTGAGTGGCATAGCAGCCTGGCTATGGAGCCAGGAGCCCTGTTGTAGAAAAACAGGTGTGTCTTGGAGGGTAAATCCTGCTGAGTTGTGCCCTGACATGGTTTGCTTTTTGTCTTTTAGAAACAATGTCTCCTTATGTAGCCAGGCTGTCTTGGAATTTACTGTGTAGCTTTGGGCTGGCCTCAGTCTGGATTCTCCTGCCACCACCTGCTCCTCAGGAGATTACAGGTGTGCACCACCATGGCAGATACCCTAGGAGGTTTTTTATTCTATGCCAAAACCTGCTGGCAAGTGTGACACTTGAAGGTTCCTGACAGAAAACAGAACCTCTACCACTTGCCAGCTGAAGATGTGTCTTGCCTATACTTGTGACAGGTGCCATCCTTGGCAGCCTTTGGAGAAAACCTAAACTAGCTAGGGCTGGAGACTGGCTGAGGACAAAAGCTGAAATCTACCAGCCCTGCCCCTCCTCCCTGAGTAGAGGGTGGGAGGGTCTTTAAGGAGACTTTGATCCCTGCTGGGCTTCAGCTTGGGGGGGGGCTCAGATTACAGCGTTCCCCTCCCTGATGTAGCCGGCCCTTCTCCGCCCCTTGGTGACCCTAGTGGTCAGTTGCTCTGAGCTTCAGGGCCTCTGGCCCCTCCCCAACCCTTCCTCTTCTTCCATTCCCAGTCCTATGCTGACCAGAGCCTGGGAGCCACCTACAGTGGTTGGGAGACGGCCAGCCAGTACTTTGTGGACAGGTTCTGAGAGACCCCAGAATACCTATTCACATTGCCAGAAAGGAGCCTCAGCTGTGGGCTCCAATATTCAGGGGGTGGGGGCCGAGGAAGTCACAGAACAGGGTCCTTTGAGGCAGGGGTAGCAATCCTAGGCCCAGGACCCTATAAGGTGGATGCCTGTAGGGAGTCCTGGCTCCAAGAGTGCCTGGTGGCCACAAACTCCCACCCCCTGGCCCTGTGGTCCCCATGCCTGCCCCACAGCCACTCCTGCCTCTGCTCTTTGTCTTCGGGCTCATCCATCTGACCTCGGAGACTAACCTGCTGCCAGATCCTGGAAGCCACCCTGGCATGTGCCCCAACCAGCTCAGCCCCCACCTGTGGGTGGACGCCCAGAGCACCTGTGAGCGTGAGTGCACCAGGGACCAGGTGAGCACTGGCATCTCGTGGGATCCTGGGCCCCACCCCAGCTCTTTACTCAGTGGGGGGAGTAGACCCCAACCCTAGGAGTCCACTTTCTCCGAGGTTCCTCCATACTCATTTACCTAGATTTAGGGCCATGACCTGTACACAGGGGTCAAGGATACCCACACACACACTTCCAGCCACCTTTTGCCCTCACCTCTGAAGAATAAGAACATCTCCAATCCCTGTACTGACTCATCCTCACCAGTTCTGTCTGACTTGCCTGACCACTTTAAGTCATGTGGACCCAGGCCTCTGACCTTCCCCTGCAGATGGTCCTGCCCTGCCTGTGATCCTTTCCTTATATTCCATACTGGGAAGGGGACAAAGATCTCCATAAGTGGTGTGCCCTCTGATGGCAGAGCAGCTGCTTGCACACTGCT